GAATCAAAATACTCAAGTCTTTGCCCAGGAGTCTCAATTTACTGCTGAAATTGAATCTTTGTCGAAGAAACTTCAACGTGGAAGAAACTTCACTATAGAAGAAGACAAACTCCTTGTATCGGCTTGGCTTAATATTAGTTTAGATGCGATACACGGGAATGAGCAAAAACGCTCTACCTATTGGAAAAGAGTGTGGGATTTTTTCCATGAGCACAAGAAATTTGAGTCTAATCAAAATGAGAATTCTCTTATGAATCGATGGTCAACCATTCAACTTGCCATGAATAAGTTTTGTGGGTGCTACGCCCAAATTGAATCATTGCATCAAAGTGGCATAAATGAGGATGACAAGGTATTGAATATTGTATATTTACAATTATTATTATTTGTGAAGTTGCTAAATATTATTTATTTATTTAATTTCAGATTTGTAAGGAGAAAATTATGAACAAGGAACTCAAGAAATCTACATTCCAATTCGAACACTGTTGGATTATGTTAAGGGATCAACCAAAATGGGTGGTAGAGTGAGAAGAAAAAGCAACCAAAAAGACCAAGAATGTGGACAACCTCTTCTCCTTGTACTTCGGATTCGATAAATCTAGGGGAAGACGATGCCTCACCTAATGCTTTTGTAGACTTGGAGAGACCAACCGGTAGCAAGGTTGGAAAGGAGCAATTGAATAAACAAAAGAACAAAGGAAGCGTACATTCGAGTATTACAAAGACTTTGGAGGACATCAAGGAAGACAAAAAGAAAATGATTGACAAGAAAATTGAAATGATTGACAAAGTATACGTTCAAGAATAAGTAAAACTTCGTATCATTCAAGAAAAGCATGAGGTGAAACTTGAAAAGCATGAAATGGAACTTTTCAAAGAGGACAAAAGAGTTATTTTGATGGATCTCAGTAGCTTGCCGGAAATCCAACACGAATTTTATCGTGCTCGGCAGATGGAAATCATTAAGAAAAGAATAATGAATTATTATTCATTTTCTCTTTGGTCCTTATGACATTTTGGCTTTTGTCTAGTAGACTAGAAACTTGATATATGGTATTGCTTTTTGTTCTACTAGTTGAAACATAAATATATAGACCATATAATTATATATATATGGGGCATATAATTAAAATGAAAACCATATAATTAAAAGGCATATAGAATTATAAAATTACACATAAATCAAAAGCATATAGCGATTACACTCAAAACTAATGACATGCTACATGAAATGAAACTTCAAATTCAAAGCTTTTATGACTCGCTGTATAATTGCCACAAGTGTTCAACAAGGTCCGATTAGAGATGAGAATGTGTTCATTGTGAAATGTTTTAAGCTTTCTATTGCAGTGCTTTCTCCAATTCTCACATATTCGTCCATAAAATCAGCGGCTACTCCATTAACAAGCATCCTAAGTGCAACAGTCATCTTTTGAAGAGAAAACAAACCAAGCTTTCCAGCACAATTTCTTTTTTGGAGAAAGTATGAATCGTGTGCTTCTACTGAAGCTTGAATTCAAAGAAAGAGTGAACGATTCATCCGAAACCTTCTTCGAAATAGCTCAAGAAGATATACAAGCAATTCAGCAACATAGTCGAAAAAAAGCCTTTCATGACCTTGAATATGGTCACGATGAATGACTTTACGACCTCGAACAGAACCACAACGTGAGCTTGATTCTATCTCACTATCTAGTAGTTCTTCATCCATAGTAACAGCTTTGAGCATCTCCAAATCATCATCAGATTCAAAGAAGTCAGTCATTTACAAGCATATCATAAAGAGAACTGGAAGCCATAGAGAGAGATATGGAAGTTTGGATAAAGTACAAAATTAGGTTGAGGGTAAGATCAAATAAGAGGGAATGTCTTATTTATAATTGAAAAGTAAAAAATTATGACCATTGAAAAACGGCTGTGATTGGGGCCTCGAATTTGAGGCTCGAAATTGCCTCAAATGCTATTTTTTTTTTTTTTTTTTTTTTTTTTTGGTTTTTTTAAATAAAAAAAAAAAAAAAAAAAAAAAAAAAAAAAAAAAAAAAAAAAAAAGCTCTATGTATTCAGAAAGCAAAGTTGTGTGTTCCCACTCCAAAGGTGATGTTTGTGCACCAAGGATCCTTTAGAGTGAAATTTTCCTAAAGTTTCCTAGAGTGTTACATTGTGTGGTTGAGATTTACTGGCAAGTCACATCAGAAAAATTGATGTGACTTGCCAATAAATCTCAACCATACACTGTAGCACTTTAGGAAACTTTAGGGAAATTTCACTCTAGAGGATCCTTGGTGGTTACAAAAATATGACCGTTGAAAAAATATGACTATTTGAAAAATACGATAGTAGAAAAATGTAACTTTCACAAAAATATAATTATATTTAGAAGAATGAAAAAAATAATAATTTGAAAGAAGTTAGTTTTTTTTTTTTTAGATTGGAAAGAAGATAGTTAAAGCATAAGAATATTTTAATAGAAGATAGCTAAAGTAGATAGCCTTGTTGGAATTTATATTAAAAAATGACTAGCTAAAATAGTAAAGTGAAATTTTGAATAGCTAATTTAACTAGCCTTGCTGGAGATGCTCTAAGAGAGGGAGAAGATAAAGGGTTAGAAAGGGGGACTAATTGGGCAGCGGTGAGACTTCGACCTAGAACGGTGCTATCTCTTCGGCAGCAAGACTGGTTCGGCGCCGGCAGCGATCAACGATTCGAAAGGGAAGGGTTTTCTTATTCTGTTCTCTTTGCTTTGATCTAGGTATGTTCGGATTCCCCCCTCCCCCCTCTATATCAATGAATGAAATGGAGGTTATTTATTTATTTCCGCATAAGTCATATAGCCATTAACCAACCCATTGAACCCACATTTTTCGCCGCCTCTCATCGCCCTCTCCCCTCTCTCTTTGTTCGCATAACGATCTTCTGCCATCTAGTCCCGCAATTTCCACAGACCTCTGTCCTATTTGATTTTAGAGGGAAACAAATTTCTATTCCATCTCTCACTGTTCATCGATCATTCGTAAACCAATTCTTCAAATTTCTACCCAAGCCACACCACAATGAACAACTTGTTGTTCCTCTTTTTGTACCAATCAACCCAGTGATTTACTTCTTCGATCATTTCAAAGATTTCATATGTTGATTCAAAAGTTTTCGTCTCTGAAGTTAATGGCTGCGTGTAAGCGCCTGGTCCAATTAGGTCCAAGTTTTGGAATCTCATTCACTAAATTTCGAAGGTTTTCTTCTTCAGAGAAGCAATTCGATGGCTCTTCGATGATTTTTGGCAGTTCTTCGTCTTCGAATTCAAGTTTTAATCGATTTGACTTTAGGCAGATCTCTCAACTTGTCAAACCTAATGGTTGTTCGCATAACGATCTTCTGCCATCTAGTCCTGCAATTTCCTCTTTTTCTTCTCTAATTCGAAACATTATTTCTAATTTTTTGTATTTTTTGGATTAAAATATGCCTTTGGATTTTTGATTTTTAATTAGATAAAATAATGTAGTTGTTAAGAAGTGATTTAGATATGATTTAGTTGTTGGATTGGAATGACATTTTGCTTAGGGTTGTTGTTGCTATGGCAGGTGAGGAGGTTAGAAGCACAAGGTGTGCCTTCAAAGCAGGCAGAGGCAATAACTGCTGCTATTACTGAAGTTTTAAATGATAGCTTGGAAAATGTGGCTCACTCTTTTGTTTCAAAAGCAGAAATGTAGAAAGTAAGGGTTTGAATACTAGGTCTGCATTACTTTTGGCCTGATCAAGGGTTGGTATGAGAATATGTATAGCTATAATGTTTGTGCTTTTGTTGTTGTAGATTGACATGCTTCATGAGTCAAACCTCTCCAAGTTTAAAACTGAAGTACAAAGTTCCCAGGTACTAATCTGTTTCTGCATTTTCGTTTCCCAAATATGACTAGAATCCTTTTGATTTGTAATAATTGCTGAATATATGAAATTTTGTTCATTTTCCCATTTATAGTAAGTTAATTACTAAGAATGGGATAAGAGTATTTATGAACTTGCTAAGTTGCGAGAGTGGAAAACAAAAGTTATTCAGGTTGAATATATAAAACATGAGGATTCATTGGTATTAATGCTAGACAAGGAATGCAAACGGAGTGATTATTGAATGAAAATCACATAGTTGATTTAGTATTAGAAGAAACTAGTAATTGTTGAATGAAAATCACTGTTATTTTGAGAAATTAGTGTCATAATCTTGACCCACATCATACACAAAATCAGAATGCATAACTAGCCAGTAGCATAGCTACCAATGGCTTAACCAAACTGAAGGGTAGGGCACCTGTTTTATTTTTAACAATTACAATATAATATGATAGAAGCATAAAGTACACATGTACATTTGGTAATACATTTCATTCATTTCTATTCCTTAGGGCACGTTCCTAAGTCCCAAATGCGCATTCCATGATGCAGATAATTGATATTACATGTCATCATCATCCTTGGCCAAACACAAGGCCACATAATACACACATCTCATATTTTCACAAATTAGTACATAAGGTCTCAATATACAAAACTTAAGGTTTCTTCATTTCATAGCATGTACAAACTCCAACCACCATCTTCATATACAAAGACTAGATCCTCAATTTAAGCTTCATCTCCATAAATGTGGTGGAAATAATGTGATGAGCTATCCAATTTAGTCAATAATATGAACACAAGAGCTAGCATTTTACCATGGATACAATGTAGTCGAAAGCATAGGATGCTTAAATAGATAATCAATGGATAGCATAATTCATTTGAAATGAAACATGGCTTATCAGTATGCAATAGATAGCTTTGAAATCAAAGGCATAATTTTCTCAAATTTGATAATCGTTCAAATCTTACAAGACATAGCTGAGGTATATTGCATTTCAAGTCCAAAGCTTCAATTTCACATTATTATTAGGAAATTCATGATTATATATGACAACAAAAATAAAAATTATAACAATAAATCAAACCTATCTTCATCCCAACTTCGCAAGAGTTTTCTTTACCCACTATGCCATATCTAGGGCCACAGGTTGTACAAATCATCAGCAAATCATCTAGACAATGAGAGAACACATGAAGTAAATTATATACCTATTTGAAACATCTGAGCGTAAACAACACATGGAGTAAAGTAAATTTTGCCCTTTTTTCATCAACTTTTTTTTTAGTACTCTTTTAAGACTAAATGAAGGGCTTGGGTGTTTGTTTGAGTAAGGAGGAAATGACTTTGAGATATATGACTCAGAGAGAACAGTGGGTCACACAGGTCAGCTTTATATTTCAGCTTCTTATTGCATTATTAAATACCATGGATTTTTCTATTTCTATGGCATCTAGAGAACCAAATGCATCATTAGTATAGTGTCATTGCAAAGAAAGCTCCAATCAGACTTGGATGATTGCAAAACAGAATGGACCCATTTTCAAAAATAAATATAATTGGTGATATTCTCATACAATGCTGTAAATGATTTTTTACATAAAACAGAGTACTTGTTTTAAATGCTATGAAAAACAAAATGGAAAAAATGTTGCAACTTCAAAAGAAATAATTTCATTTGGATAATGTTGTAAAACAACATCTATATACACAATCCTCGTTTTAATGCAATTGGGAGTTTCTAAAAACCCACCACACACCTGCCATGTTCATCTCTACACCTATATTCACAAATTTTTCTTCGTAACATACAAGATATACAATGCATATGGTGAGTGTAGAGAGAAAATAAGCGAGTGTATTTAGAAGCTCCGATGAATTCTTTTCATAAATGCAGCCTCTGCTTCTCCAAAACCTGCTTAGACAATGAGAGAACACATGAAGTAAATTATGTACTCTCCCCCCCCCAAAAAAAAATGGAGTAAATTCTTGAGTTTTTATTTATTTATTTATGGGTATCTAGAATTATGGTTCAACAGTAATAATAATATACCTTCACGAAAAGATCGTACACAAGCTGTATTGAGATTTATCATTTTTAAATACTGTGCTCATTAGTGACCTCCTAATTACAATGTCTTTGACACTGAGCTGCTATGGCATCTAATTGTTAACAGGAAAGTTACTTCCAAAAGGATTAAGATCAAGCAGAAATGATTAATGTTCCTATTTTGGTTTGCTGAATTAACTTTTTAGTTTATTCAGATGCATCGGCGGTTTCTAGATTAATTTGTGTTTTTATTTTTCAAGTCAGAAATTTTTTTGGAGAGATGCAAAATATGGTCCAAGAATTAAAGAACTTAGTTTTTTAAGTTTTTTCATTTTTTAATATATGTAAGCACAGTTAATTTTTTTTTATTTAATTCCTTTGTATATACTTTTGAATATTTAATTTTCATTTATGAAATATATGACGTTATTCTATTCAATATGTGGTTATGATTCAAAATATAGTATATAGTGTGTATTACATTCTTAAAAGGTGTGATCTAAATGTTATTAATCACACTAAAAATGACCCTTTTTAATCACACTTTCAAAGATCACACTTAAAATGTGTGATCTAAATGTTATTAATCACACTAAAAATGACCCTTTTTAATCACACTTTCAAAGATCACACTTAAAATGTGTGATCTAAATGTTATTAATCACACTAAAAATGACCCTTTTTAATCACACTTTCAAAGATCACACTTAAAATGTGTGATCTAAATGTTATTAATCACACTTAAAAAGTGTGATTAAAAATGACCCTTTTTAATCACACTTCCAAAGATCACACTTAAAAGGTGTGATCTAAATATTTTTAATCACACTTAAAGAGTGTGATTAAAAATCCCAAAGATCACACTTTAATAAAATTTAAAAGGTGTGATTAAATAACATACATCACACAAAAAAAGTGTGATCTTTATCTATTTTTTGTAGTAGTGACCGTACTCAATGTCAGGAGCAGTGGCAGAGCCAGAAATTTAATATGGGGGGCACCCATTAATTATAATCTCAAAATTTTTCTTTCCCAATCAATAACAATAACATAATAATAATAATTTTTCGAGCTAATGTTAAACATTAAAAATTAATATCCATTACAAAAAGTTTTAAATTTTAAACTTTTACAATTGATCCCGACGAGTTTTCATCTTTTGAAATCTTTTCATAATAGTATCATTGTCAATGCCATCAAAAATATCTCTCTCAATGTAGACAACCAAGCTATCATTCATCCATTCATTACCCATTCGGTTCCGCAACCGATTCTTTACAATATTCATAGCTGAAAATACCCTCTCAACAGTTGCAGTTGCAACAGGTAAGATTAATGCTAAAGTCAAGAGCAAATACACCAATGGATATACTTTGTCTCTTCTAGTCTCTACCATTTTCTTAGCAAGATCGGCAATTCCATTCAACATTGAGAACTCACTACTGGATAGCATGTCGATAATATATGTATCAAGTTGATCATTTAGTACCATGAGCTCCATTGAAGAAAATTCTTTGGGATGAAATTTAGCAAGATGAATTAACTTTTTCCTGTCAAAACTAGAGAAAGAGTTAGATGGATTCAAACATGCCACACAAAGTAACAAATCAGTGTTCAACTTAGTGAAACAAGCATTTAGTTCTTGAACTTGCATATCCAAAACAGTGTAGAATAACTCAGCGCAATGTAAGTTTGTAATTTCTTGAGCATTGCGCCTTTTTCTCCCTCGAGCTACAAACATATCTTCCATTTGGAGAACATCAATTTCATGCTTTTCACAAAAAGACAAAATATCATCAAGTAAAGATGTCCACCCACTCTCCCTCATCTTTTGCAGCCGTACTTTAGAAATTTGAACTAAATTTATGGCATTAACAATATCTTGATCTTTCCTTTGTAGTGCTTGCGATAACTCACTTGTAATAGCTAATATCGTTTTCATCAAATGAAGGTTGAATACAAACTCAAATGATTGAATTGAGTCCAACAATACATTTGCTTATGCTCGTTGTTCTGAATTTAAACCATCCTCCGAAATCATTTTAAGCACATCAAACACAATTGAAAACATACTAGCCAAGCTGACTAAAGTACCATAGTGTGAACCCCAACGTGTATCACCAGCACGTTTAAGATTAGTTTCTTGATTTAAGCCTTGCCCACTAGATGCTCTCCAATATTAAGTGCCTCAACAACTTTTGTAGCTTGCTTCTCCCTAACAATATCTCGGCGTTTACATGATGCTCCAACAACATTCATCACATTAGAAACCAAAGTGAAAAGTAAAGCAATTTGATTATGATTCTTTGGCACGGCTATAAGTGCCAATTGCAATTGATGAGCAAAACAATGAACATAATATGCACAAGGATTCTCTTTCAGTATAAGTGTTTTAAGACCATTGAACTCACCTTGCATATTACTAGCCCTATCATATCCTTGACCCCGCAATCTGGAAATACCCAATTCAAGTCTGGAGAATAAATTTTCCATAGCTTGTTTAAGTGACGGAGCATTCGTATTAGCAACATGCTCTATACCCAAAAAAGTGCTTAATAACTTGGCCTTTTTTGTCAACATATCGTATTACAACTACCATTTGCTCCTTCATTGATATGTCACGGGTTTCATCAATCAAAATAGAAAAAAGTGCATCACCAAGATCTCTAATAATCACATTGATAGTTTGAAATGCGGCTACATTTACAATGTCTTTTTGAATTTCAAGAGATGTCAACTTGAGATTTTGTAGAGCATTGCTCAATGCAACCACTTTGACATCTTCATTATGATCAGTAAGAAACTTGGGAAGTACAAGAAAATTTCCTTGGTTACTTGAATTTTCAAATTCATCATGCCCACGAAACGCAAGTCCTTGTCTTAAAAAAGAAATTTAACACAATCAACTGATGAATTCAAACGGGTTCAATACTCAATTGGAGCTTGATCAGATTGTTTGAAGAAAAATCGTTTCAATATGTTGGTTTTGGTTTAACAAGTCTTGACATTTACTCGGATTATGAGCTCTATTGAGACCTCCAACATGAGTCTGAATTTTTTCTTTTTTCTTTGAATTTGAGAAACGCCCACCAACAAAAGAATCACCACCAGCTTGATCTCTAATATCGGGTTTGAAAAGATAACAACATAAACAAAATGCTGCACCTTTTGCTACGCTATACTCTAACCAATTAGGAAATTCACTAAATCAAGCCTGATTAAATTGCCAAAGTTTTTGTCAAAATGATTTTTGTGGAAAATTATTATCACGAGGTTGATAAGGACCTTTTTGTAGATATGCCCTACGAATTCCGTCTCGATCATTAGAATGTAGTCCATAATCCGAGGCCGTAGTCCTGGATCTACAAGAAGGTCTACTAAGTTGATTTCTATGCGACTTTGTTTTCCAAAAGAATAATTATCATATTTTTCTTGAGAAAGAGATGATTCCAACTTTAATTTTCTTTTGAAATATTTCTCCATGGCTGTTTGGAAAAATTAAAAATCAAAATAAAAATTCATAATCAAAATCTCAAACCCCCCACAAATCAAAATCTTCAATTTTAATACAAATCAAAAAATTTAAATTACTACAAATCACAACAAATTAAAATTTTTAATCCTAGCACAAATTATAACAAATCAAAATTCCTAATTTAAATATTAATCACTGCAAATTAATATTTTTAATTTTAGCATAAATCAAATCCCTAATTTTAGCATAAACAACAATAAACCAAAATCCCTAATTTTAATATAAATCACCACCAATTAAGATTCATAATTTTAGCATATCAAAATCTCTTATTTTAACATAAATAATAACAAATAAAAAAAAATTACAAATCAAAACTTAACGAAGAATTATAAATTAATACTCATAATTTTTATTTAAAAGTGAAAAAAATAAAATAAAGTTACTTGTAAACAATGAAGAAAAGATACTAGGGTTGTAGTGTAGTCCCAAATCTGTGCTGTGTGATCCTAATTTGGTGAATCGCGAGTCGGTAAATTTCAAAGCAACAAAGGGAGACAAAGAAGACAAAGAAAATACGAAGAAACTTCACAAGTACTATGAATAAATAAAAAATAATTAAAGAATTTCACACACTTATAAGGTTTTAGAGTTTTAACCTTGCTGTAATTGGAGTTGTGCGCACTCACCTAAAAAAAAGTTGTGTCAGTATTTAATTGGGATTGGGATTGGGATTGGGATTCCAAAAATAATAATAATAATAAAATAAAATAAAATATACAAATGTTGTGCGTCGTGCGTGTGGTGTGTGTGTGTGTCAGTGGGTTAGTGGGTTTGAAATTGTGTATTAGGAGGAGGGGCACAAGGCAGACCACACTTAAAAAAAAAAAAAGAAAAAAAAAATTCAAAAGTCAGGGGGGCCACATGACCCCCCTGAGTCTAATGTCCCTCCGCCCCTGGTCAGGAGTGTAGGTTAGAATCCCCGCCTGTGTGCAAGTTCGTGAATTACCACTACATGATTGAATGGCCATGCCTTATGTAGCAACCACATAAGGATGACCTCCTAAGGATGACCTTTGAGGCCTCGGCTTCTTATAGGGTGTAATCCTAGAAGTTATCGATATGTGGTTAGGTAAACCTTTTTGTTGTAAGTTGCCAATCTGAACATTCATATTGTAAGTTGCCAATATAAACATTCATATTATGATTTGAATAGTTGGGTAAATATTCACACTGTTGCACATTCATATTGTGAAATTTATTTTTTTATTTTACATAATTACTTGTTCAAGTGAGATTTTATTTGATAGATCTCGTTAAATAGGTTTCAAAAATATATAAATTTCATCAAAAATAAAATATGCAGGACCAAAAGTCATGAATTTTTTAAGTTTAATATAAAAAAATTAAAATTAAAAAAAGGGGTTTAAATTAATTTTATTTGATAGATCTCGTTAAATAGGTTTCAAAAATATATAAATTTCATCAAAAATAAAATATGCAGGACCAAAAGTCATGAATTTTTTAAGTTTAATATAAAAAAATTAAAATTAAAAAAAAGGGGTTTAAATTAGACACTGCAGGAAAAAAGGAATATGGTAACTTTTTTTTTTTTTGCGACATTTATGAAAACACCGCTATTTTTCAATTAAAACAAAGTTCAAATTAGAGCACATCATAAGCCCATATCAAGTTGCTAAGGGCTACAAAATATCTATAAGGGTAAAATTGTTCATAAAAGACCCTAAAAATGAAAATTAGGATTTAGTAGATCAAATTTCAAAATAATAAGACTTATTGGAATACAAAAATATTTTATGGACTAATTGGAATACAATCTCATGAAAGGAGATTTTCTAATAAATTCTACTTTTTTATTTAGCACACTGACGCTGTAAAAATGAAATTCCTAAATATTTTTCTATGCAACAATAAAATTATCAAAATTGTTACTTAAAATATATTTATGATATCATTATAAACTGTTAATTGACTTAATAATTTATTAACAAAATTAGTCATTTGTTATGTGATTAGAAACTTGTAGGGACGAAATGTAATTTCTAGAATAGCAAAGAACAATTGCATTTTTAGCAAATCTCAAAGATGTATTTATAATTTACCATCAAATTTTTGGGTTTGATTTTCAACATGTTCAACACATGGGCGTGCCTATGGGCAACATATCTTCAAAACACTGGCTTGATATGTGTTGATATGTTGGTTGTCGATGGTGGCTGGTTTTAGGGATGGGATAGGAGAGGCCATTTGGGTTTCGGTATATAATATATTCAGATATGAAATATGGGTATTTTTAGATATAGAGAATTACTATGAAGGGTAAAGTTGATATTTTCAGATAAAAAAGATGACATCAACCATTTTTATGTTAGGCAAATCAAGGTAAAGGGAACATGTTAAATTGATAACTAATTTATGTTTTAGAGGCAGTTAATGTAATTATAAAAAAAATAAAAGTGTAAGATTGATTGTATTTTATTCATACCTTAAGAAGATCATATAATTTACCTGTAAATAAAAAATAAAAAAATAAAAATGTTCGTGTTATGTATTTTTATAACATTTGAAGCAATGAGTAAAAGGACATAATGTGATTTTTTTTTTTTTTGACAAAGATAGCGTCAGTATGTTAATAATTAAATTACAACGTATATGAATGTCTCTCCATAGACTTCAATTTGAAAATCTCACCCTAGCACTTAAATATCCTCTCCCTGATCATTTGAGTTATAGTCCAGGTTAGAATGTGAGGTTTGTCAAATAAAGATTATTGGGCTTTAGACTGCTTATGTGCCCTACATGGTATCCATTCACATTTTGCGAATTCATAAGAGAAAAATAAAATAAAATAAAATTATGAGAGAAAAAAATAATAAAAAATTGTTCACATTCTATTTTTGCTTTCTATTTAAGTTGGAGAAAGAAAATATTAAAAGTTATCAAAATGTATAATGCTACTATATATACTCACATAGTAAGAAAATTAAAAATATTTTTGGTTGTGCGTCGGGCGTGTGGTGTGTGTGTGTGTGTCAGTGGGTTAGTGGGTTTGAAATTGTGTATTAGGAGGAGGGGCACAAGGCAGACCACACTTAAAAAAAAAAAAAGAAAAAAAAAATTCAAAAGTCAGGGAGGCCACATGACCCCCCTGAGTCCAATGTCCCTCCGCCCCTGGTCAGGAGTGTAGGTTAGAATCCCCGCCTGTGTGCAAGTCCGTGAATTACCACTACATGATTGAATGGCCATGCCTTATGTAGCAACCACCTAAGGATGACCTTTGAGGCCTCGGCTTCTTATAGGGTGTAATCCTAGAAGTTATCGATATGTGGTTAGTTAAACCTTTTTATTGTAAGTTGCCAATCTGAACATTCATATTGTAAGTTGCCAATATAAACATTCATATTATGATTTGAATAGTTGGGTAAATATTCACACTGTTGCACATTCATATTGTGAAATTTATTTTTTTATTTTACATAATTACTTGTTCAAGTGAGATTTTATTTGATAGATCTCGTTAAATAGGTTTCAAAAATATATAAATTTCATCAAAAATAAAATATGCAGGACCAAAAGTCATGAATTTTTTAAGTTTAATATAAAAAAATTAAAATTAAAAAAAGGGGTTTAAATTAGACACTGCAGGAAAAAGGGTATTTTTTTTTTTTTTTTTTTTTTGCGACATTTATGAAAACACCGCTATTTTTCAATTAAAACGAAGTTCAAATTAGAGCACATCATAAGCCCATATCAAGTTGCTAAGGGCTACAAAATATCTATAAGGGTAAATTTGTTCATAAAAGACCCTAAAAATGAAAATTGGGATTTAGTAGATCAAATTTCAAAATAATAAGACTTATTGGAATACAAAAATATTTTATGGACTAATTGGAATACAATCTCATGAAAGGAGATTTTCTAATAAATTCTACTTTTTTATTTAGCACACTGACGCTGTAAAAATGAAATTCCTAAATATTTTTCTATGCAACAATAAAATTATCAAAATTGTTACTTAAAATATATTTATGATATCATTATAAACTGTTAATTGACTTAATAATTTATTAACAAAATTAGTCATTTGTTATGTGATTAGAAACTTGTAGGGACGAAATGTAATTTTTAGAATAGCAAAGAACAATTGCATTTTTAGCAAATCTCAAAGATGTATTTATAATTTACCCTCAAATTTTTGGGTTTGATTTTCAACATCTTCAACACATGGGTGTGCCTATGGGCAACATATCTTCAAAACACTGGCTTGATATGTGTTGATATGTTGGTTGTCGATGGTGGCTGGTTTTAGGGATGGGATGGGAGAGGCCATTTGGGTTTCGGTATATAATATATTCAGATATGAAATATGGGTATTTTTAGATATAGAGAATTACTATGAAGGGTAAAGTTGACATTTTCAGATAAAAAAGATGACATCAACCATTTTTATGTTAGGCAAATCAAGGTAAAGGGAACATGTTAAATTGATAACTAATTTATGTTTTAGAGGCAGTTAATGTAATTATAAAAAAAATAAAAGTGTAAGATTGATTGTATTTTATTCATACCTTAAGAAGATCATATAATTTACCTGTAAATAAAAAATAAAAAAATAAAAATGTTCGTGTTATGTATTTTTATAACATTTGAAGCAATGAGTAAAAGGACATAATGTGATTTTTTTTTTTTTTGACAAAGATAGCGTCAGTATGTTAATAATTAAATTACAACGTATATGAATGTCTCTCCATAGACTTCAATTTGAAAATCTCACCCTAGCACTTAAATATCCTCTCCCTGATCATTTGAGTTATAGTCCAGGTTAGAATGTGAGGTTTGTCAAATAAAGATTATTGGGCTTTAGACTGCTTATGTGCCCTACATGGTATCCATTCACATTTTGCGAATTCATAAGAGAAAAATAAAATAAAATAAAATTATGAGAGAAAAAAATAATAAAAAATTGTTCACATTCTATTTTTGCTTTCTATTTAAGTTGGAGAAAGAAAATATTAAAAGTTATCAAAATGTATAATGCTACTATATATACTCACATAGTAAGAAAATTAAAAATATTTTTGTCGCGTTATGCTACGTTGTGGTAAAAATTATTTAAAATAGATACATAATGTGAACTCTTAAAGTGAAAATTACTAATTATTGTGATTATATTATGAATATTGTGGTTACAAACTATTTGATTCCTGTTAATGCCATCTGTCTTGTTTTAATATGTACCTACCCCTTTATTTCAAGAATTGCATAGCCAAGTACACTATAACACCAAACTTTATGAACGGCAAATAGCCAAAAGAGAAAATCAACTATGTTACATAGTTACATTATTATATTTGCTATATTTCTTGTTGACATTATACAAATATATCAAAATATGTTGTGCAACATATACATAATTTGTTAATTGGTTATCGCCCCTCAATAATTGATTGAGACGCCTTACTGTCGGAACATATTTTGTTGTATTGTGACCGAAGATCGACATCTGACAAGCTTTGAATAGTGAATTTAGGTTGTTTTGGATGTGGAAGATCTATTTCATTACTTATCATGAGAACCACAGAAGACATTGCTGGCCTATCCGCAACGTGGTCCTGAACACAAAGAAGGCCAATATGTATACATCTCATTACTTCAGACCAGGAACATGAATCAATCACGACCTCATCCACTAAGTCTGATGCACGACTTTCCCTGCACAACTTCCATGCCTAGAATAGTTCCCCATATGTCCATATATGAATTAGTAAAACCACACATAATGGTGTCAACTAACAATATTTGAAAGCATGTAAAGGTGAAATTAGTGCACTTACATAACCAAGGAGGTTCAAATATTTTTCATGATAATGGAAACACGTATTCCTCATGCCACTGACCATCTCTAGTACCAAAACACCAAAGCTATAGACATCTGACTTCTCTGAAAATAGCCCTCCCAATACATACTCGGGAGACATGTATCCGCTGCATTTGATTAGAAATTATTACACTTATGTTTACCCAAAATTATTGGACTTCCAATCTATAAATATAATGTAATTGTTCTTAAAAATTAAAGATAAAAAAAGCAAGGGGACACACTTATTTATTGAATCACTTATATTGCCTCAATATATATTCAGTCATTTCA